CGGCATCCATACCGGTGGCGGGCCAGCTGCGACGCCGCTCGTTTGCCTTGTGATGAGATCTCATCAATGATGAACTGGCAGTCACGGGGCCGAAGCAGGGTGATAAACCTCTGTACGACGTAATTTCCAAACGGGCAGCGAACAGCTTCCCATACATGTCCCGCTATCTCCATGGCCAATGCATTTCGCTCCTGATCAGAGCCGCATGCATCGATGGCTTCCTGAACACGACGACAGCCGTTCTGCTTCTGACAGAACTGCCAAACATGGCCTTTCACAGAGCCTGCTTCGGGAGCCGGCGGCAACACTGGTCCCACGGGGGTCATCGATCTCTCAGAAAGTTCACGATCCAAGGAACCCCCAAAAGAAGACACTGATGCTGTCGTGCTCCCAGTTGGCACTCGGCTGAAGCAGCAGCTCCCGGAAGGTGATGGTGGCAGACTCGGTGTCTCAGCGTCGATGTCCTTCACTCGAGGAGGATTGCATTTTTTGAAATGTTCAACACGGCAAATAGCAATGCAGCACGCAGGCAAAGTCTGACCCTCCGTCCTTTTTGAGTATCTAACGCAATACCGCGATTCAATGATCAAATCTGGGTCCAACAGGTCTGCTCAAATTGTGTGGGAGTTATAATGTCGGCTATTAGCCAATTACGTCTGCGGTGCACCGGCACAAAGTAGCAGAACTGCAAACACGTTACTCTACTGGAAGGAAACGGCGGCAGTTGCAGGCAAAGCCCAACTCAGATCAGATCCAGCATGTATTTATGGGCTGCAAGAGGCAAACCAGGGCTGCATCACTGGGGCCAATGCAGCCAGGCGAGGACGGCAAGCAAGCAGAACAAGGGGAGAGAAAGACTCTCCCAACCCACGCCATTGGAAGTCCACAAAAAAGACAGGGTAGGACGGCTAGACCCGAATGACATGCACACCACAGACACGCTTGAAAGCTGGAGCCGGTGGTTGCAAGTATGACATGTATCCCGCAGCCTTCCTTTGCGTGGCAGACACAAACATGTAGATCAGATATGAATGCAGAATCTTTGTCAACCACGGGTTCGCTGCGTCTGTGGTGTACATGCATCTACGCCAGTGGCAGGAAAAAAACTCTTACAAGAAAACCCAACCGCAAAACACCAAGCAGGCGCGACGCCCAGCACCCCTTTACCACCATCTACCCACTGTCACCGTGAGCTTCAGGGAATATGTCGATGCGCAATGCCCCTAATCGACATGGGGTCAAATCTGTTTTGCACATTCCATGGCTTCTTCCTTAGTGTGCCTTCTAACCTTGCATTGTCTTTTGCGATGGCCGGCAATCTCACGAAGCCGTTGAGCAGCAGGAGTGTCACGTAGACTCCAAGGCCCGCCCTGCATCAGTTGATTTCTCATGCCGTTGCCATATTCCTTGGTGAGACCATCACTCGGAATGGTGAGCCCCTGCACTCATCGGATCCAGCGATTCGCGTTGGGCTCGTACATAGCCTCCTTGAGGATCGCCACGTCTACCGCGAGGCGGCGATCCTCACCGTTGCTGATGCCGTTGAGCACATCGTACCCTGTTTTAGAATCGAGGACCAGCACTTCCTTCCACTTGCTAGCCGACCATCTCCCAGGGCAAAGCACAAACCCAGCGTCGAGAACTTCCCCCTTAAGGGCTCGTACATAGTCGCGTTGATCACGGGCTTCGGCAGCTTGAGAAATTTCAGCAGCAAGGGAAGAGGGAACAACTCGTTCCAAGACGCAGCTGCTCTGGTACAACAGACAGTTTACAGTAGCATCACCTTCCAAAATGGACTCATCCGCCACCAACACCATCATTCCACCTTGCGAGCTTCCCCTCGGCGGCCCCGCGGCATTGATCCTTGCGAGGCGTCACGAACACCGAGGAAGATCATGTTGTCCAAGTCGCCATCGATCCTCTGAAACAGGTACGAGTAGGGCTGCCGGGCCCGCTTTACAAGCTGCCCCAGATATCTCATGGTTCCAGGCTCTTTTGCTCCCGCCATCTGCTGGAGCTCAGCACGCCCCTGGCGAGCCAGCCAATTCAACTATCCTCCAATGGAGGAGATGCACTTCTTCTCCACCTCAGTCAAGGGAGAACGGCCTTGAGCATCTCGCTGCGGTGGATCCTTGACCTTCGCGGCATAGCCCTCCATGCTGACCGTCACCTTGGCATTGAGTCCCCCCTCGTCCGCAGAACTTGACGGGGCCCTCGGCTGCCAGTTTCCAATCGCCAAAGGTGAACACCAAGCGTATCCTGTCCAACACGTGCTCTGCCGAAGCGTGGAACGCGATCCGGAGGTCATCAACGTGGATGGCGAGGATGAAGGTCCCGGGGAGAGCTTCAGCACTTTAGCTCCCTCAAGCCGAGCTCCAGGACAGCTCGCTTCAGTCTCAAGTACCAAAGCCTCGGTGACTCGGCGAGACGAAGCCGCCCTTTGTCAACTTCACTACACCCCGGCAAAACTCCCCTTGGCCTTGTCCCCAAGTCTCGGCAGCATGCGTCGGTCACGTAGTCCGATAGCCCTTCGGGAAGCGAATGAAGACAATCCATTGGTCATCTAAACGCTTACCTTTTTGAAAGGCGGCAGAAATTTCGGCATATCCCATGATCCATCCCAACTGCGCCGCCAGGAAGCAGATGAGATTGTGAGTCACTGTGAGCCACCAAACTCGCTGTAGGAGCCTCCGTCGCGGGTTCCCGAGCCTCACGATCCATGTGGCCCGCCAGCGCCCACCTGGCCTTGAGGCTGGCAATTTGTTCGTGAGCACAAATCGGGATGGCAACACCTTTTCCGGCGGAATCATGGCTCCCAGTTGTACTGGTTCGACCGCGTCATGGTCGACGTACACGTCAATGGCTTTCTGCAACGGCTCTCTAAAAGCCTTCTGCCACGCCTCGTGCAGTTGCAGCCATTCATACTCTGCGCCGGGGGGAACAGGAGTTGGAGCGACAAGACCAGTCTGGTTCGATCGTCTTCGCGGCGGGGCATCGGTGAGCTTGTCGGTCACTCTCCACGGCTGTCGCGAAGCTCTCCCAGGGTGCATCAACTGTGGCCTTCAGCATCACCCTTTGACTTCGGACTGCCTCCTCCAAACGCCAGTTCCGACACGGCGAAAATGCCCGGGTGTTCGTGACTACCTAAAATATCGCGGGCCCCTGTAGTTGTAGCAGGTAGCAGAAGCTGTTCCAGCGGTGGAGAGTTCACACATAGTAGAACTCGAATGTCCGGTCTCCAAATGAAAAAATCCTGCACCCCTATGACTGGCCACTGGCGGGCGGCGCAGCGGGAACGCGTGCAGATCGAGGATTGGAGGTGGAGTAGGTGATTGATCACGTTATAGTCGTCCACGACAGCCTGCGGGTTCGACGTACCCAGAACGGTGTCCCAATTGATCCTCTCCTCTTCCTCTACGGGAAAACGGGCCCTCACTGTGCCTCCACGCGGCTCAGTTTGCACTCTGCATCTCACTTGGGAATCTCAAAACGGACTTTCTGCGTTGCGGAGGGCCTGCAGCGCCGGGGACCTCCGCCTCTCGTGAACTCTCGTCCGACCTGAGTTTCCCAACAGCCCGGTTCTCGACCATCTCCTCGTCCCCACTGAACTCCATCACCTGGGCATCGGATCCTTCGAAAAAACCCTCCATCTCTTCGATCTGTGGTCGCGCTCCTTGAAGTTCGCGCTCCACCTCTTTGAGGGCCGCCTGACAGATCTTTGAGGATTCCACCTCTTCCAAAGCCGTAAGACGCACAAACTCTAAGGGGACACCCTTTAACTTGTTCCGATATCGAATCCAAACTCCCTTGATGCTGCCCTCCTTTCGCTTCGAGGCTGCGACCACAGCAGGACCCGTCCACGAAGTCTGATCTTGTAGTCTGCGCGTTCCGTGAAGTGGGGGGCCGTATAGTAGTACACCATAGCCCCCTCAAACAGCATCTCCATGCGCGGGCGTCGGGTCTTGGAGTTCAAAGCTCGCTGCAATGTTTCATTGGAATCAGCCCAGAGGAAGGCCTGCTCTGCCGCACGCCTAATCTGTTCATTCTTCCTCGGCGCCTCGTTGAACGCGAGGTCCTTCAAGCTGCTCCAACAACGAAGAAGGGATGGCCACATCCTTTCCCAACACTATGCGGGTTGGAGAGGATTGTCGGTTTCAGGCCACGGTTGCCGCCACTATCACTCCTTGACCTCAGAACAGCCAATGAATCATCTTCGTGACCAGCAGCTTCAGAATGGCGCCACGGCGTTCCGCAAGGCGCACGTGCCACCCGCATGTCTCCGCCGCGTGCTCCCATCGCTCATCATGATGGTGGGAGGCTCAGACACTCCAACCCAGTAGTTCTTGATGAAGCGCGCTGCCAGATTGGCTTCCGGATTAGGCATCAAAGGCGCCACCTGGTACATAGAGAAGGCGTCCACCGCGTGCACCACTGGGAAGCGCTCCCTTTGCGTGTCCCAGATAAAGAACACATCCATGACCACTCTATCGTTGAACCTCTGCAGCTCCGCAAAAGCAAACCTTAAGGGAGCCGACTTGGGCAGGGCCACCGTCTCACAAATTTGACGCCGGAGGTCTCCTGCCGCTCGAATGACAGTCTCGTCGGCTTTCTGGAGGCGCAACAGCAGAAACATGCCATTATATAAGGGCTACGTGGAGCTTGGCCAGAGTGCTGCGCAGTTGTCGGGAAAGGCTGCCGCTTCCGCCTTCAAGGTAGATGTAGTCATACTGACCACCAGTGACTTCACCCAGGCGCTGGCGCAGTAGTTTCTCAGACGATTGCTCAATCTCCACCGGCACAGCCCCCCATTCTACATCAGGAGAACAAGGTTCACGGAGAGGAAGTTGGCCCGAGATTGCAAGGTCTCACCCACCATCTGGAGCACTCGGACACCCCTACCTCGAGAGCCTCACGAAAGGTTCAAACTGTCATCACTGTCCGCGCATGCCCAGCTAATGCTCGCACTTGGCATTCATTCCCAGCACATGGAACACCGATCTCTGCCCTCCGTGCCCTCCTCCGGCGGCTATCACGACGTCGTTCCGGTTAAGAAGCTGAGCGCTATGAGGCATCTGAAGAAACGCCAGTCGCGCTCATTGGGCTTATAACGCCAATCTTCTGCTCCTGCTCGAACATGTTCAGCCTGGTCTTCCAAAATGCCCTTGTCGCCTTCGAGCCCTCGGCCACGATGGACTTCGGGCCCATGTAGTCCAGCAAGGCCTCCTCGAGCCGGCACTGCTGTCTTGTGGCCCAGCTTGGGCCTCAGCTTGCCCTTATCCACGGACTTGGATCGAACTCGGTCGGCCAACTTGGACCTTGTCTTCCTCATCCTTTTCAAGAATCTCGGGCAACCTTAGGACCGGATTCAGCGCACCATCTCCGCCGGAAGTGGCCCTCGTCGACCTTGGGCTGGTGAGGTTGTTGGCGACACCACCTTTAAGGGCGCCCACCAGGCCCTTGGAGTCCTCCGTGTCCGCGAGCACACCTCCGGCTCCTTGCGATTGCTGCGCGAGGGTGGCGAAGGTTTCCGGCGGCGGAGCACCATGATCAAGGTCACAAGGGGAGGACGCAACGCTCGACATATCTGAGCCAGGCACCCGGTAGATGAAGATAGTTTCGGTATCACACAGGCATGAATTGGAGGGGTCTTTTGACGATCGTGGTCCGATCAACATCTTCATCAAGTCATCAAGAATGAGGTCTCCCGTCCGACCGTCATATTTATCAGGTGCCTGAAAACTAGCTCCCACAGCGGTCCTCTCCGCCCCGGCCCCAGGGTGTGGTCCTCATCGCGTCGGGCCCAAGACCGTAAGGCAGTTGCCGACTCGGATCCCCATTTCAACGCACCCTCCCCGGAGACGGCCGGGGATTGCTTCCAGACGCGTCGGAACAAGGTTCGTGAGTTGGCTTCATGGCGTCTGTGAACTCTGCAACAGCACGGCGTAGCGACCATCAACCGTTTGCGCTACACCATACCTACTGATCTTGAGTCGTCGAGAAGAAACAGTATGATTATCAGTGTCGATGACCATTCCCAATTGCGTACACGCAGGTTTGGAGAAGAGGGGAGGGCAATCACCAGGGACCACACTGAGCTTCAAGATGACTCTGACGCCTAAGACCGTGGCCTCAAACATGAAGGAATACTCGCTGACCAACCCATGCCCATCTCCAAAACGGAAACTCTCCTTCTCGGGAACTGTCTTCATCCAGCGGCCCAAACCCCTTAGCCTCTGAATACGGTGATTCACCCACCGAGTTCCCGCCACGGAAAGCATGCACCCCAAATCTAGAACGAGGCTGCCATGAAGTTCACGCATTGGCCAAAAGACAGAATGAGCCATCACGTCCTGTCCCCCTACGGTCATGCGACAGTCAGACAGTAATGGGCCGAATCGAAGAAGCCGGAAGTCACGTGCACTTGGTGAGACGGCCGATTGCCTCCCTTCTTCCGTGAGGGACACTCTTGTGACCAGTGCCCAAGTTCGTTGCGCAAGAAGCACGGCTCCTTCTTCTGCTGCTCCTTGACCCACGCCTTCGTCTTCTTCGAGGCACTTCACGCTGCGGTCATGTACGACACCACAACACAACTAAATCAGTGCTCCCACTCTGATGGCATGCGCTGCAGGTCTTCCACCGACGACCTTCGGAACCGCCTTCACACACGGCTGCCCGCATGACACTCCACACAAGAGAAACGCTGCCCAGCACAGCTGGGCCTGCACCCTTCCCAACGACCAAGAATGCATGGCCTTCCACAGCAGACCACATGCTCACACACTTTGACATTGTCAATGATTTCGCTGCAAGCGGTCCCCTGCAACAAGGCCAGCCCTCCTTGAGGTCCGTGTTCAGGTGAATCCCGCTGCCCAATCAAGGTCATCTCAATCTACTATTGCTGCATCTCCCGCCTTGACCATAACTGAGGCTGGGAACTCAGCCAAATCACAAAGAGTGAATGAGTCACAACGAAGAGTGGCCGAATCCCAAGGATCAGTGGAGCTTTGGTCCTCATCTTTAGGCGGACTGAAGTGCGGCAGGGCTGCCAGCCCAGCCCCGTTACAACAGAGTATGTAAATTTATGAAACGTGCTCTGTGCTGGCTGCTGTTGCCATTCGCGCCTGATTACCCTAAGCTTGGACAGCACATTGCCTGGCACGGCTGGCTCATCAGTGGTTGGCATGGCTGGCTCAGCGGTAGTGGCTGTACTGGCTGCGCCATGATTGGCACAGCATTCGGAGTGAAGGCCACTGGCTGCCTGGCTGCACGGTGAACGCAGACTGCAACTGACTTAAACCAAAAATTTTGTCATGAAAAGTTAGGACTAACCGACTAACCCACACTGCGTGCTCGACTTGAGCCAAGCCACCCTCCCTGTACGTTCACAATGAAAGCCTCAGATGGCAACTCGAATCTGTTGCAGAGTGGCAAAATGTTCGTGCTCTTGCACATTCAGCCAAGGATTTGATTAAACAGCTCAATGATTGTTTGAGGCCAGGCACAACACCAGAAGGTGGGCACATCAGCACCGGCATGGGGCTGCAGATAGCTCCGATCACCGGAACGGCCATGGCGCCGCTTGATTGCACGAAGTTGCCGGGGATCATGGCTCCAGCACTATCCGGTCGACACCGTCAGAGGAGATGGCACGCTTGCTGAGCCCAAACTTGCACTCAGCCAAGCAGGAGATCGGGTATGAGCTGGCATCACACATTACATAATCCATGCGTGCTTAACACTGTCACAGCTAGAATAGCTAGAAGCAACTGCCTGATCAGGGCAAATAGGTTGGCATCATTTGCCCCCAAGCCGCGCAGCCTGTGGCAAGGCTGAGCTTTCAGAAACCAACTTTAAACACAAAACAGTGGCCTCTTGACAGAGGATGCAGCCTGCCACACGACGGTCTTGAGTTGAGAGGTTGCCCAGCTAAGCATCAGACAACCCTTATTGAGAAATTTCGACGACCTGACATCACTTTAGAGTGCCTCGTGCACACTTCGCCCGTACCGAAGACACAGACACTCTGACACACACATGCCCACACACATGCCCACACACATGCACACACACACACACACACAATCCCGTGATCCGTTTACAGTCCAAAAACTTCGCAATCCCCGGGTAGACAGTTTGGGGCTTGGGGCATTTAGAGTCCATACTGGGTGTACAGGGCCCAATGGGCTCAGCCTCACTGCGCCAGCGAGTCTCACTGCCTCGAATTGAGCTTCGGGTTGACAGGGATGAGGGCTCAGAGTGTAGGGCACAGGCATAGGATTTCAGGGGTGGTTTGGAGGCTTCAGGAATTGTTTGCAAGACTGCGCGGGGATTGTTTTGAAGATTCTCTAGGGGGCAGCCGGAGGCATGAGAAGTATGAGGACTTCTGCTAGGGCAATGGTTTCTTTTGGGATTTTGCTGGCCATGAAGTATTGAGAGGATGTCATCGGATTCCAGGGAAGCGTATCTTCTGCAGATGCAGGCGCATTCTATCAAGTTTAACACAAGAACATTGTCTGGAGTTGGACGAGGCTTCCAAAACTACTCGCGGAAGCGCGAGGAAGACTACGAGAGCATGTTTGGAGCCGTCCCTGCCTTTCAGGTTGTGAAACATGATTGAGGCGGTGCCTTGAGGAAGGGAGCTCAGGCTCCAATTGGGAGCACTTCAAAAGAGTGACGGGAATTCCGGCTCAATGCCTATACCCTACCAGCTATGAACTTAACCAGCCAGGGCCTGACGTTGGCGCTCGTGCTGCTGGCATTGAAACACAGGGGGCTTCTACCCCTTAGTATGTTGACTTCAGGCATTCCGGTGCGAGGTCTGTGTGTTATAGTGAGATGCAATAGGATCCTAAGACTCTGGAAGCGGGCATTCGGGGCTACTCTGGCCGCCAAGGCACCGTGTTGCCTCCGTGCGCTGGCGGCAACAGGCTCTGTTCATGGCTACAGAACCGGGGGCTAGATCAGGCCTAAGCTATGGGCTCTAGCTGGGATGCGACCAAATATGTCTCTGCATGTCCACCTGAGTAGGTAAGGAGCACTGCTCGAATTGAACACTTGCAACTCCTGACTTGAGGCCATGCGTATTTGCACTGTAAAAGCTGCATGCGCGGGAAATGGGGAAAACGACATGATAAAGACGGGTCTGCATAGGTGCGACCAGACCAAAAAAAAACTCTCAAACAACCCTGCCATTTCCGCATCCGATCCACTGAGTGAGAAGGGAGCTCCTCCAACCCCCTCATTTCAGCTTCGGAGCACTGGCGATATCGCAGGGTTTCTGAGCGTCCCAAGCTCATGCATGAGCACAGTTGTGGGGAACGAAGGGGTTGCGGCCACCTGTTGTGATTAAACCTGTTCCGAGCTGTCGCCCCCGGTCTCCATCGCGCTGCCCAGCCAGTGGAACCGTGTTGCATGAGTCATGGCAATTCCTCTGTCACTTTCGGTCCCGTATTCGGCAGGTTCAAGTCCCATCTCTCGCGCCAGCATGTCTGAAGGTGAGGTGCAAATGGGTCACATTTCAGCACAACCACACCCTGCTGCAAAGCACGATTTCGCGCAAATGCAGGAGGCAGCGCAATACCCTGACCTACATCAGAATAAGGTCACGTGTGGACGCGCGGGGAAGAAGAAATGCGAACCACGGCACTGTCCTTAGCAGGACAGAGTGGAAGCTGCTGGTTGTTCAGGGCCTCCGACCTTTGCAGCAGCTTCTTCATCTGAAGGGTGGGGAGCCGACTCTCGCACTTCCTCTCTCGACAGTATAGGGAGCCTGTTGGCGGGGACCACTAGAATCTGGTCTCAATCTTAACTTGTGCGTGCACTGCATCTTGCACGTGTACAACGGCGTCCCCTCCACGCAAGAAGCCCCTCTTGTTCTTCGACGGCCTACATCCGCTATTATTATTGTTCATACCAGGACACCTGCTGGAGCGAAAAAAGCAAGCAAATGGCCAGATGTCTGATGACGTCCAGTTAGGGAGTACACGCGTAAGACGGGACCTTCAAAGCAGGTGTGCCCTCGATAGCTGCGCATACAATGTTCAAGCATCCGACGCATCCGATCTCAAGAAGCCTACGACTAGTTGAATCCATCTTGGACTCACACGGTGAAACAGGTGCATGTCAGGAACAACCACGCACCTAAGCTGTCGCAAGTATGTCGGCAAGCCAAAACAGCATGTGCCGTACTTCCCGCTCATTACTGTCAAGCCACAACTCATAAACTTTAGGTCCGAGCTAGTGCGGCCGCATGCCAGTCACTAGCATGGCAGTCTTCTGCTCCTGAAAAATGCCGCGTATTGCCTCTGTAGCTGGGGCCTTCTAGGCAACGCCTCCTTCAGGTGCAGGAGTACACGATAGCGAGCCTGGCACAGCTGCAGCATCAGAGACATCTTTGGGCATCCGAGCTGAGACCCAGACATTGTCCATCAAAATGTCGCCCACTGTGTCAATCAGCAACACCTTCGTTTGGCGTGTAGTGGAACAGAAAGGAGCTCCAGGTCCCTTTAAAGGGGTATATAGAGATATAGCCCCAATGATGGAAAATACACGTGAAACTGAAATGGAAACTGGATTACCCTTATAGTAGTCCCCTATATAATCCCTACATACCCCCTTTAGGTTGAGACTATCGTACAGTGGAGCTGTGTCTCATTGGGAGCGTTTCCGAGCACAAGCTGAGCGCCTCTGAATCCTCGTCAAACATGACCCGAGTCTGGACCTGCTCATCGTTTGCCAACTACTATTACTACAACTTACAAATACAACTACTATTACTAGAATTGCCATTATTACTATTATACCTAGTCTTACTATTTTTTACTATTATTACTATTAGAGATGGGACTGTTGCGGCCCAAGCTTTTTGACATGTTGGCACGACTGATGCCAAAGAGCAAGCCTATCATGGCTGTGCACATTCCGCAACGGTCCTATCTGTACTATTAATAACTAAGATTAATATTACTACTATTAATACGAATATCACCATTCTTACTATTAATAGTAGAATAACTGCTCTTACTATACTACTATACTACTACATTTGGTAGCTCTTGCAATTGCTGGAGCGAGCACGAGTAGCCCGCCGGAGGGCGCATGTTATCGTTGGACAGGATCTCTAGAAAGGGCGATCTCTCGTCAGCCTCGCGCAACTCGCTTACTTCAGAGCCAGTCATCACAACTGAGTTGTGGTACCAACATCTGCAGATCATTTTCACTAAACTTCAGTTAAACGCCGTCAATGTAGTTAGACAACTGGAGTCTTGACAACGCAAGTCATGCTTGCAAATGGCACCTCATCTCGTCGCGGCTCGGTGCTAGCACATACTTTATAGAATGACTTGAGAAGTCAAGACAGTAGCAGGGAAATCCCAATGGCGGCAATGTATTGCCGGCTGTCTTTGAAAATTGCCAGGCTGCGGATAAGACCGCAAAGGAACCAGCTAATGACTTGTACCATCCGACAAAGTTCAACTCGCCAGTGTCTCGGCAAGGGAAAGATGGAAGGTGGAAGCGCGACAAAATTCCAGCAGGTGCCAATCAGGAAAGCTGCTGGGCACTGTGCCTGGTTCTTAAAAAGCCAAGCCAAGCATGCACGCGCGTGCTTCAGACGCACGAACCCTTCGAGGCAGGCACCCTCGTGCCACCGGTCGGGTTGTTCCAAAGCAAGGATTTGGATGATATGCCATTCAGGCATGTTCCTCCAGCTGCTGGCTTGCCTTGCATCTGCGTGGACAGCAGGCCTTGAAACACTTTACATGGGCGGCTTGAAACAAAGAATCGGAGAAGTTGGCTGCACACCACTGAGGTGGCCTATACAAAGTGCCAACGGCCTAGTAGGAGTCATGCAACGACCCATGTGGCTTTGCCGGTCATGGGAGGGGACAGAACCAGCCCGAGATGGATCTTGCTCCCCAAATCCGCAGCCAGCTAGTGACGAATTCAGCGTGCTCTAGCTCTCCTTCCCTCATCTTTCAGCAATCTTCGCGTCTGCAGCTACTTTCACCTGGCAGCCCGGAGCAAATCTCGTTGAGGGCCGGGAAGCCCCTTAACCTCAAACAAGGACACTCAGGATTTGGGATCAGGCAAATGATTGGTTTGCTTCACAACAACTTGGAGCCTGTACAAGAACAAATCCGCGAAATCATGCCAAGAATATGCCGAGAGGCACGACGCGCCCGTAGCGCAAACGGGTCAAGGAGGGAAGGTCCTTCTTCAAGGCGTCCAATGCTGAGGTGAGGCTGGCTCCCTCCAGGACATGCAGCAGCGCCAGAGCTGTCTGATGGCCATGCCGAGTTTTGGACATGGCAAGCAGAAGCCCCGGCCGCGACAACAGCCCGTTTGCCAAGCTGATCTTGTCTTCTGAACAGCAGTGGATCAATGCCTTTGCCAGCACAGCGCTTGCATTCTGATCAGTGGCCAGGTCGCAAGCCTGGGGCCTCAGAAGCTGGCACAAGGAACGCTGCTGCGCAGGCGTGCCGTGGCTAAGGATTCGCTGCATCACGAAGTTTCCATACTGATGCCGTACTAGCTGAAGGGCCTCTCTAAGCAGGTTGTCAACCATGCTGTTCATTTGCAGATATGTAACGTGCTCGAGAAGCCGTTGCATAATGCGGCATCCGTACCGGTGGCGGGCCAACTGCGACGCCGCTCGTCTGCCTTGTGATGAGATCTCATCAATGATGAACTGGCAGTCACGGGGCCGAAGCAGGGTGATAAACCTCTGTACGACGTAATTTCCAAACGGGCAGCGAACAGCTTCCCAAACATGTCCCGCCATCTCCATGGCTAATGCGGCTCGCTCCTCATCAGAGCCGCACGCATCGATGGCTTCCTGAACACGACGACAGCCATTCTGCTTCTGGCAGAGCTGCCACACATGGCCTTTCACAGAGCCTGCTTCGGGAGTCGGCGGCAACACTGGTCCCACGGGGGTCATCGATCTCTCAGAAAGTTCACGTCCAAAGGAACTCCCAAAGGAAGACACTGATGCGGTCGTGCTCCCAGTTGGCACACGGCTGAAGCAGCAGCTGCCGGAAGGTGTCGGTGGCGGACTTGATGTCTCGGCGTCGGTGTCCTCTGGACAGGGAGGAGGGTGCGAGCTGTTCCATAATTTGCGAATCGTTCAACGATGCAGTGTGCCGAGTCTTTGTTATTCATGCTGTTCGCTCATGACTAATAATTACTGATTTACTCCCTAAGCTCGTCTTTAGGCAGACTAAATTGCGGCAGGGCTGCCAGCCCAGCCCTGTTACAACGGAGTATGTAAATTTATGAAACGTGCTCCGTGCTGGCTGCTGTTGCCGTTCGCCCCTGATTACCCTAAGCTTGGAGCGCATTGCCTGGCACGGCTGGCTCATCGGTGGTTGGCATGGCTGGCTCAGCGG